GAGTTTGAGCCCCGTGTTGGGCTCTGTGCTGACAGCTCAGAGCCTGGAGCCTGCTTCAGGTTCTGTCTCCCTCTCTCTCTGCCCCTTCCCTGTTGACACTCTATCTTTTTCTAAAAAATAAACATTAAAAAAAATAATTGTATCTTCCACGTCTAACATATGAGACTTTGAGAAAGTTATTTCACTGCCCTGACACTTATTTCCCCTGCTATTAAAATGTGGGTAACAGGAGCACCTGGGTGGCACAGTCAGTTAGGTGTCCAACTCTTAATTTTGGCTCAGGTCATGATCTCAGGGTCATGAGATCGAGCCCCGTATCGGGCTTTGTGCTGAGTATGGAGCCTGCCTAAGATTCTCTCTCCCCTTCTCTCTTTGCTTCGCCCCACCTTCCAAAAAAAAAAAAAAAAAAAAAAAAGGCCTTTTTTTCAAGTATGTAATCAGGTATTAGTTAGAAATATGGAAACCAGATAGAATAGTATTTGGTCCGCTGTACAGTCCCCTTGCTAATAATGTGCCAGCCATGTGTGTTTCCTTTCTTCTCCTGCTTCCTGACTTTAGACTTTGCCCTCTTATGCCCTCTACCTCCATATCTGCACATGGCTAGGTCCTTTTCAACAGTCTTACCTCATCAGGGAAGTAACCGCAGTTTTAATCTCATCTCTAATTAGTTACAATGTTACACATCACTCCATTGTATGGTCCTCATTGACCTTATCAATAGACTTTGGCTCAGGTCATGACTTTGCTTTTCTGTTTACTTGTTTATTTCTTTCTCTTCTTTATACAATGCAAGCTCTTAGAGAGTAAGGATATTGTGTTTCTTTTCTCTGAATCCCCAGAGCCTGGCACATAACAGACAACCGAGTGAATAAATGGCAGTTGTCACTCTTTTCCAGTGAGCTCACTGGCATTCCAAAAGACTCATCTTTTTAGTGTGGATTTACCCATGCATAAACAGATTGCTAGAAATTAGTAAATAGATAACTGAAAACAAGGCAAGGGAATACCTCTGCCTTTATTTGTTTATGCTGATGAGAAATAAAAATATACTGTAGGTAAAAGATTTGTTTTATTCATTCACTCAGTAAACCTATTATGTGAGCACGTATTATGAGCTAAGGAATGGGCTAGTCATTGAGGTTAAAATTCATAACAGCCTGGAACCTGCTTCGGATTCTATGTCTCCCTCTTTCTCTGCCCCACCCCTGCTCATGCTCTGCCTCTCTCTCAGAAATAAACAAACAATAACTTTAAAAAAGAGAGAGAGAGTTCATATTTTGAAAAGCACCTAAATCTAATTTGTGCAGTAAGCCATGTATTTGCTTAAATTGTTGTATTTAAGTTAGCTATGCCTTTATGCTATGAAAATGTTAAAATGCTAGATAAGGCCAGGCCAAGGGATTTTGTGGAAGATAGCTTAAGGCTAAGAAATCTTAGCAGCAGTGACATTTGAGCTGGACCTTAAAGACTGGGTGGAGGTTTTCAGGGTAAAGGAAGAAGGAAGGGCATTTATAGAATACAACTAGCATGAGCAAAAAGCCCAGAAGGGTCCTTGTCCTCTTGCGTGTTGGGGACAAGGAGGTGGTGGGGAAGAATCAGCCAACAGCCTAAAAGGCTGAACAAACATAGGAGGGAGTGGCAGTTCTGGAAAGGTAAATTGAAACCTTGAAGAACCATAAATACCTTGCCCGGGTCTTACGTTTTAAACTGTAGGCAATAGAAAGTGTAAGCTGGATCAGATCTGCATTTTAGAACGGCCATCGCTATGACCATGAGTAAGAATACGGTCTAGTAGCGCAGGCAGGAAGCCCTGAGTCAGGGAAGTTCGGTAGTAAGCTTCAAAGAAAAAGACGGGTTTAAGGGAAATTCAGTAAGGTAGCATTGCTAAACCAAAGATGATTCTGGAAATGGCTAAGAGTATTGACAAATACAAAGAGGAAAGCTAGACTTCAATTTTGGGGGTGTGGAAAGTGGGGTGCCCACAATGTATCTAGGCTTACAGATTTACTGGGAAGCTTTGTATTATAATAAATGTTTGTTAAAGTTCAAATCATTGTCAAAGTAGTGAGTCTGTTGTAAACTTGTTTTACTTGGAGACATAAAGGAGGAAAGAGTAGGAAACATCATCAATGCAGCATCATCGATGTGCTCCTGGACATATGTGCTTCTATAACTTTATTTGTCAAGAATCATGGATACTGAGTAATTAATTAGGTTGTTATTTAAGAGGCTTATTTTTCTAACAGGGAAGCAAGAATCTGATTCTGTCTTTGCCCTTGAGCATGGTGATGATAACAACAGACTGATACTCGAGTAATAATCATTTACTATAGTCAGGCACTGGGATGAGCTCTTTCCATGAATTAATTCATTGAATCCTCATTTTATGAAGTAGGTACTATTATAGATCTCTCCTTTTTACAGAAGAGGAAACAAAGGCACAAAGAGTTTTCCCAAGTCGCAAAGCCCAGCAGTGGTAGAAGTGGGATTTAAATCCTGGCACCCTGGCTCATGACAACCTTTCACCTCTGGGACACATCCTGTAGCACGTCTCTCACACCAGTCAGACCCTGCAGCGTGGTCCTGTGCTCCCGCACATGCTATATTTTGGAGTGACACGTTCTTCACGTCTTCAATTCTTTGTTGTTTTCTAACTCTACAAATCAGTTTTATCTTCACATTGCAAAAGCCAGTCTTGTTGAATTTATCATTGGTTTTATCTCCCTTTATTTTATTTCTTCGTAAAGTTTATTTATTTATTTGAGAGAGAGAGAAAGAGAGAGTGTGTGAATGGGAGAGGGAGAGAGAGAGAAAGAGAGAGAGAGAGAGAGAGAGAATCTCAAGCAGGCTCCACACTATCAGTGCTATCTCACAAACCTTGAAATCATGACCTGAGCTAAAGAATTGGATACTCAACTTGCTAAGGCCCCCACACGCTCAGCCCAAGCTCTTCGATTCTTTTAACCACTTGATTCTTTTTATAGATGAGCAACGGGAGCTTCCATAACCAGACACTGGGCTGGGATACTACTCCTTTTAAGGACAAAACCAAACAAACACCCCCAAACCCTAGCCAATTCTTATAGTAGCAATTTCCCCAGAGAAAAGCATGGGGCACGTACACAGTAGACCAAATCGCTGCAGGTGCTGCAAAAATAAATGTCCTGGAATGCACCGGCCAGAGGGACAAAATCTGCACATTCTCTTCCCTAGGTTTTTCTCTGGGACTGCCACTAGCTCTTTGGGTTGCAAAAATCTGATACCTGGTGACCGTTAATCTCTACACAAATCTGACGCCACTCGGTATCTACTTTGCCTCTCTTTTACCCCACAAACTTCCCCCATTCCTGATTTACCGTTCACCCTGGGCTGGGCTTTCAGAAGAGCAAATTACAAACTCATCACAGTTTATTAGCTAAGCAGAGGCTTTCTGTCAATACTTCTCTGTTTTATTTGTCCTGTCTATTGGGAGGCACGTGACGGCCATGGCTGGGTTGCACATCTGGGTGCTGTATTTCCTCCGAACCAGAAGCAGAGACAAGAGTGTCACAGATATTCTGCTCCATGTTTTCAGGAAGCTGCATCACCGTCTGCCTCTCAGACCACATCTAAGCAGCCCCATCATCTTTCTGCCAGACAGCCTTCAAATATTTAGAGACAGCTATTATATTCAGTGGGTCTAGTTTCTCCAAGTTGAGGAACCCGACTTGTTCAGCTATTTTTTTGTGGCCTGGTTTTGAGTGGCTTGACAGCCCTTCCTGGAGGCTTCCAAAGTGCTTGCTGCAATTCTGCTCTACTTCCTGTAGCATATAATTTGGACCTTTTTTAAAAAAATTTTTTTAGAAAGGGAGAGACTGCGAGCGTGTGCAAGGGGGTGAGGGAAAGGCAGAAAGGGAGAAAGAGAGAATCTTAAGGAGTCTCCACGCCTAGCACAAGGCCAGATGTGGGCTTTGATCCCACTATCCTGGGATCATGACCTGAGCAGGAACCAAGAGTCTGGATGCTCAACAGACTGAGCCACCCAGGTGCCCCAAGTTGGACCATTTTTATTTATTATATAACATTTGCGGCACTTATGGTTTATATGATATCAATATGGAACTTTGTAGGAAACATAGCCTTGTGACAAATATCCCTGTTTCTATGTCACACTGAAATTCCTAAATTCCTTAACTCAAATCACCAAATCAGGGCAATATCAGTGCATAAAGTAGCAATAAAAGAGCCACATGTAAACAATACCAGGTACAACAGAAAAAAGTAAAATAATATCAACATGTAAAATTAAGACTGTGTTAAAAAATGAAATTCAACTGAGGAAGTTGGAAGTTCTAATGGGCCTCAGTAATCGATTCAGGAATACCATGTAGCAAGGAGAGGGGAGCCCTGAGGAGTTGTACAAAATGGAAGCTTTTTCTAGGAAAGAGGGTGAGGCAAGAAAGTTATCAGCAAGAGAAAAGAAAGGATTCTTCCAGGCAAGGTCATATTCCTTTAGGTGGTAGAGCAATGGGTCTTATTAGATAGATTATCTCATCTTCCTTTAAGGGATAGAGAGACCTCACAGAACAGAGTACCTCATTGGTGCTGTTCAGAAAATTCCTGGCTCCTGGCTGACCTGTTAAGACTGCATTCCTAGAGGAAGTTGAAACTGTAATTAGGTTAGGTATTAAGCCCCCGTTTGGTGACTTGGCCTAAGTGAGTCCATTTTGGTCCCCTGGTTTTCTTTTTGGCAACTGAATAATATTAATATTGTCCTTTCTTTACAACTTGATTGTCTTCTCTCAAACTACCAGCCTTATTTACCATCCTTGTGCAAACAATGTGAATCATTACATATACCGAATTAAGCATGGCAGAAGTAAGGGGAGCAGATTAGAAACAACATAAACTGAAATGCTCACAGCACAGGAGCATTTCATGTAGGTAGATAAGATTCCAAGGCTCCAAGTAAATTTAAACAGTTAATAATAATTAAAGAAAAACAAAACTGAGCTACTCACAGTCAAGAGCCTGAGTAGTATATACTCCTTCAAATATAGTATATCCCTGTATATGCTTGTGTTTATAACAGGTCACAAAATCCTCAGTGTGTCTCTGGCCAGGCCAGTGCAGGCACAAATTCCTGTTGAACAAAGAATCCCATCCATGACACTCAACAACCCCAATTCATGCTCAGTGTGGGGGGGTGTCCGGGACCACACCATTGTTCTTAACACTGAAAACCACGTAGCTTTTATATTCCCACCACATTCCACAGAGCTCCAGCCCTTGTTTGCTGAGTAATTTCTAAGAATTCCTTTGTGTTCTTATCTCAGTGTCCTCTGGAGTTGTAAATTCAGTGCCTTACGCACTTACCCTCCATGTAAACAAGGAGCTAAACTGTCTTTGGAGCAGAGTTTTACCTCTTTGGTGCTCTCTGCTCCAGCTCATCATCTTTGAGTTGTGCGATTCCCCAAAACAAGCATGTTCCTGTTCTTTGCTGTCGCCCTGCTCTCCCGAGTGGGCTTCTTCGGAACTCGAAACCTGGCTGCTGAGAGAGGATTCTCCACAGTCCCCTTCCCATGATTCTGACCTTTCCCCCAGGAGGTGTTAGGAAAAGTCTCTCAGAAGTTGCCCTGTGTCATGCACTTTATGAAACACGTTCATTCTTTATTGTCGTTTTTAACCGAAAGCATTTTTCCCCCAAAACAAAATCTTATTGAGAGACCCAAAAAATTAAAAGTATAATATTGAGTGGTAGATTTGGATAGTGCAGACTGAAGTCCTTATTCTGCCTCTCCCCTGACCAGTAGCGTTCTACAGAAGGAACCCTGAGAACACAAAGAAGGGACACCTGGTGCCTCTGTTAGCTCAGCATCGGACTTTGGCTCAGGTCATCATCTTGCAATTTGTGCGTTAGAGCTCTGTACTGTCAGGCTCTGTGCTGCTCACAGCTCAGCCTGGAGCCTGCTTTGGATTCTGTGTCTCCCCTTCTCTCTGTCTCTCCCCTGCTCACACTCAGCCTCTCTCAAAAAAAAAAAAAAAAAAAAAATTAAGAAAAAAATTTTTGGAAACACTTTAAAGAAGGATAGCTTAACAAACACCTTATTTATTTTTTAAAGGCTTATTTATTTATTTTGAGAGACACAGAGACCGCGTGAGCAAAGGAGGGGCAGAGAGAGACAGAGAATCCCAAGCATGCTCTGTGTGTCAGTGCAGAGCCCAGTGTGGGGCTGGAACTCCCAAACTGAGAGATTATGACTTAAGCTGCAACCAATAGTTGGATGCTTACCCAACCGAGCCACCCAGGCACCCTGCAAACACCTCATTAACTCAACATAAATCTCAGGGCGACTGGGTAGCTTTGTCGGTTAAACATCTGGTCATGTCTTGTGGTTTGTGAGTTCGAGCCCCGAGTTGGGCTCTGTACTGAAAGCTCAGAGCCTGGTGCCTGCTTCAGATTCTGTCTCCCTGTCTCTCTTTGCCCCTACACTGATTGCGCTCTGTCTCTCTCTGCGTCTCTCTGTCTCTCAAAAATAGATAAACACTAAAAAATTTAAATCAACATAAATCTCCTTTCTTTCTTCTTTCCTCCTTTCTTCTGTCCCTTTTCTCTTTCCTTTCATCTCTCTTGTCCATAAGACTCTACTTATAGTTTACAGTCTTAAAACTTCCTCCCTGGTTTATTCTGAAAACTCTTTTTCTTATCTTTTCTTTATTAATGGACCCTTTAACATTTCCTTGGTCTACAAAAACACCAATTTTACTGATTTCAGAACATTTCCTTGTACTAATTTTACTTTTCAGTAAGTGTCTACTGAACAGTTTTTACATTCTCAGTCCTGGAAAAGCAAACATCCTTGGCCTCATCGATTTCCCATTCGGGTGGTAGAAAATAGGTGGTAAGCACAATACATAAGTACATTATCTCTTAGAAATTCATACATAGGATAAAGAAAAGTCTGTTCAGGAGATGAATAGGGAGTCGTGGGGAGAATTGTTTCCATTTTAAATCTTGCACCTTGAAGGATGTGAGCAGTGGCAGAAGCTAAGGTAACAGCATTCCAGGCAGGAAGGTGCTTAGAGGCAAAGGCCTTTGGATGGCAACACATTTGACTGTTGGACAAATAGCAGAGAAGGGGGTGTGGATGGAGGGGTGTGAATAAAGCTGAAAGCAGGAGATGAGTTTGAAGAGATAGAGGCCAATCTCAGAGGGCCTTATAAGCCATTACAAAGACCTTGGCTTTTGCTCATAGTGAGGACGGGAGTCCCTGGAGAGTTCTGATGACCGTGTGCTCTGGGTTATACTTTCCAAGGATCACTCGGGTGCCGAAGAGGAAGAGACTGCAGCAGGGCAAAGGTGGAAGCAGGGAGGACAGTTAAGAGGCTATTACTTTAGAAAGTCCTTAACTCTTTGCTTTCTCTCAACTACTACTTTGTTGGCCTCGTACTGTATTCCAGGCACAGAGTTAAGTGCGGGTCGGTGGGTGAGGGGGGAAGAGAGGATGGTGGTTAACAAAGCTTCCTAATTTTTTTATTGGCCGCCTTCCATACCCAGACTCTCCACTGACTCTATACATTCAGCAGCTCTGTAATTCTTCGTATTTTAGGCCTGGTTTTTTTTTTTTTTAAGTTTATTTATTTGTTTTGAGAGAGACTAAGACAGTGCAAGTGAGGGAGGGGCAAAGAAAAAGAGAGAAAGAGAGAGAGAGAGAGAGAGAGAGAATCCCAAGCAGGCTCCATGCTGCTAGTGCAGAGCCCGAACTCACGAAACCAAACTGCGAGATCATGACCTGAGTGTAAATTTTTTAAAAAAAAAATTTTTTAATTTTTAGTTTTAGTAATTTCTGAGACACATGAGCAGGGGAGGGTCAGAGAGAGAAGACACAGAATCTGAAACAGGCTCCAGGCTCTGAGCTGGCTGTCAGCACAGAGCTGGACATGGGGCTCGAACCCAAGCACCTACAGATCATAACCTGAGCCGAAATTGGATGCTTAACTGACTGAGCCATGCAGGCACCCCAGAAACTCTATAATTCTTTAATTCTGTGTTTCCACTACCAGGGCAGATATGTAAGAGATAAATCTGCTGAGTGGGTTCTAATCCAATCTGACTGGTATCCTTATAAAAAGAGGAAATTTGAGCACACACAGAGACACCAGGAGCACGTGTGCGCAGAGGGCTGACCACGGAAGGAGAGCGAGACAGCAGCTCTCTGTAAGCCCGTGAGAGACACCTCAAAAGAAAACAGCCCCGCAGACACTTTGATCTTGGACTTCCATCCACCAGAGCCACGAGAAAATAAAGGTCCGTTTTAAGCCACGCCGAATGTGGTATTTGGTATGGCAGCCCTAGCAAACTAACACAATATAGTAAGGAAAAGCAGTTACTGAGATAATAGAAAATGAAGAGGACTTTAGGAATATTGAAGGCAACAAATAGATTATATAGACATATATACATATATATATATATAGAAAGAGAGAGAGAGAAATGAAATTAAAACAGTGTTTTGATTACTGCATTTTAAAAATAGCTACATGGGACAGTAAAGATTATTAAGTGTGATCCTACAATTTCACAAACAGTTTTTCTCAGGCAAGTAAAGTAAATTGCGCAGTGTCAAGTAGCAAGAAAACGGCAAGAGCCAGACGGCCTCACCTCCTCACTCCACGGTCAATCCTGCTTCTCTGCTAGCCTAAACTTCCAATTAACGCGACAGAGGGCACATTCCTAATTACTGTGGGGTTGTACTTAGTTTATGCCCATCATTTGGAATCATTTTCCCAGAAACAACCGCAAAGGAAGCAGTGAACCCTATCAAAGCAGTTTTACTCAGTGTGGGTGGCTTTCTGGAGGCCTTTGTCTATTTATACTGTAAGGAAGTATGACATAAAGGCCAGATGATAGGAATAATTTTCACCTACAGAAATCTGCTTAACTATTCATATGATGGGGCTTTTTAACTTGTGGCAGAAACAAACACAGCTAAACCTACTTTACTTGTACCTTCTGCCTTCCTCCCTTACAAAGTAATGATTGTGAACTTCGAAACAATTACTTAAATATATGTGTGTGGGGGTGGAGGATTTGCAAATCAAATCACATAGTTCAGCTAAATATAGCCTTTGTCAGGAGCAGTAATTTGTGAACAAATAAAAATTAAGAACCAGAATCCACTGTGGACTATAACATGGAAATAATGCCTATTGTTCTCAGAGAATTTTGAAACTGTGACCGTTGTCCATGAATCCAGGCTGACCCAGCAGTGCACCACTCTCCAAAGACGTCACCACTACGTCTGATGTGGAGGTGTCATCCTACTTTACAATGTGGCTCTTACAAATGTGAGTGCAATCTAACTGAGCTGGAATGATTTGGGGGAGGAGGGTATAACCCAGACACAAGAGAGTTTAGTGTTTTGTGAGGGACTCATCCACATTACCTACAAAGAAGTGACTGACATCACCTTTCTGGTCACAGATAACATCATTTGTTATATTGCTCTCTGTGTATATGACTGCACATGAAATCTCCAATATGCAGCCCATTTCCTTTTTAACTTCTAGCATTTCTGGGCAGCGGTGAATCCCGTTTTGTAAATCATGTTACTCTTTGCTACCACACTTTTTTCTTCCAAATCCCAGTATCTTGTCTGAAGTTGAATCTGTTGCTCACCATTATGAATTTAATTCATATATAATATTTCCTCAGTTTTACGTGCATGTCTGCATGCATTTGTCCATGGGGACATTAGTGCTTCTTAACATTTTGCCATCTCTCCATGTGGACATTTGTGTTTAATTTGGCCCCTATTGATTTTTTTCAACTTTTTATTATCACATATACAAAATAATGGCAGATAAATACATAATCAAAATTCTAATAATATATTCCTGTTTGAAAATAAAAGTGCTCAGTTTGTGCAGTACAGGGTGTCCAGGTGCCCACTCATACAGGCTACAGATTGGGTGAGACCAGACACACTCGTATATCTTCTCATTAACAGCATTAGCCATGTCACCAATAATTACAGCAGACCAATAAATACAGTAAAAATAAAAAGAATTAATGTCTATTCATTTTCGAGAGATAGAGAAAGACAGAGCATGAGCAAAGGAGGGGCAGAGAGAGGGAGACACAGAATCCGGAGCACGCTCCGAGCTCTGAGCGGTCAGCACAGAACCCGACTAGGG